GTGAGCTGTGGGGGACCAGCTCCCCACAGTGCCGAGGCTGGCTGGTTGAGGCAGCCCCGCGGCATTCAACCAGGGATGGTGGCTTGTCCCACTGACACAGCGGGATCGTGTCTGCCCCACTGTCCCCATGGCACATGGTCCCCTGCTGCGTGTGCGTGTCCCCGCCGGGGGAGCAGTCGATCCGAGGAGCTCAGGTGTTCAGGGTATGTCAGGGGAAACGATGCTTAAAGTATTTGGGGAGGAGAAATAAAGGAGGGAGACACTTTGTTTGCACATGTGGGGCAGGCAGACCCGTGGCTCCTAGGGACTGGGGGCAAATGGGAGGGATTTCATCCCAGCAATCCGGTGGGAAAAGCTGCTGCAACCTGGGGAGATCACAGCCCCATGGTCCGCTTGGGGCCTGACTCCCCAGCACCAGTCCGATGAGTGGAAGGACAGCGCTGGGCCAAGGTCAAAGTAAAACTGAACTTCAGGCAGCATCTGAGCAGGTCTCTGCAGCTCCTGCCTCTCTGCAGGCCCCCCCTGCAGCTAAAGGTGGGAGTTAATTAGCCTTGCTAATTTGTTTCCTCTGTGCAGGATGAGGCCCCACTGGGAGGCAGCCAGGAACGGGGACGCAGGCCAGGATAGGCAAAGCCGCGGGAGCTGGGGCTGGGCTGGAGAGGCTGGGCAGGGCCCGGGAAGGCGGCAGTCGGAGCATCCCATTCGAGTGGGGCTTTCCTGGGAGCAGCTTTCCCAGCGAGTGCCCTGAGGCCTCCCACTCTGCCCCCTCCAGATCAATGGGGTGGCCAGCGAGGACATGTCCCTGGCTGACACCCAGCAGCTCATCGAGCAGACGGAGGGGACCCTGACCCTGCTCATCCTCCGGGACCACCGGCAGTTCCTGGTCAACATCCCCGACATAGAAGACAGCCAGAGCGACAGCTCCCACATGGATGGTGAGGGGACACGGTGACAGGGCCAGAGGCCAAATACACAGGGGCTGAATGGTCACTAATGTGTCCTCCCTCCTGTTGCTGCAGATATCTCTGACATCAACTCTGAACTGTCCCATCCGCCATCCCCTGAGACGTCCCCACGACCTCCGGCTGCTGCCAGGATGAGTTCACCACCGTAAGCCCCACTCTGTGCCCCATCAGATCTCCCTGTGTTCTCTGCCTGTCTGGAGGGGCTGGTTCTCCTCCATCCCAGAGCCAGTTCACCCTGGAGGTGGGACTACCGTTTAGTCCCCAGCTGGCTCCGCCGTCCCTGCTGCCCACTTGACACTGTGCCCATCCAGCTCCTGCCTAAATCCTGCCCAACTTTGTTCCAGGGAGAGGAGACGACCCAATGGGGACCCCGCGGCCAACGCGATTGTGGACGATGCTCGTGGCCCTGGTGAGTGAGCTCAGATCAGGCTGGGGGAGCTAAAGGCAACGAGCGGGCTCCGGGCTCCTGCATGCCGCCGCTGTCCGAACCCTCCTGGCAGAGCTGTGCCAGGTCTCCCCATGCCTCGGCTGCCCCAGCAGCGGCGTGGCTACTGCCATCTCCTGGACCAGTCCTCCTTCCCTGCAGACCTGTTGGAAGCCGTGGAGGGGGATGGCTGCCATGGCCCCCACGCCAGCCCCACTGCCCGAGCTGCCCGCAAGGATGGGTGCGTCTGTGAGAGGTGGTGGGAAAGGGCTGGGGGAGATGGGCAGCTGCTCCAGCGCAGGGTTGGAGTCGCAGGGCCGGGGACCCCCTGTGCCGTCCCCCGGCATGTCACCGCTGGGCTGACCGTGGCTTCCCCCGCGGCAGGTACAGTGCCGACTCCAGGGTTGTGCACTTTGTGAAGGCCAAGAGTGTCGGGCTGCAGCTGGCCGGCGGGAACGATGTGGGGATCTTCGTGTCAAGTGTGCAGGAGGGGAGCCCGGCCGACAGCCAGGGTGTCCGGGAAGGGGACCAGATCCTGCAGGTACTGGGGGCTGGGAACAGCTCCAAATGCTGCTGCACCTCGACTGGCCCCATCTCTCTTGGGTCTGATACCCGCCCCGGGGTTTGGATTTCTCCTGCTGGACATCGTTTTGGGTCAGTGCTGACGCCCATGGCCCATACCCATCGGGCTGGCTCTGCAGGCACTGCCCAAGGGGACAGTCCTGTCTCTGGCACCATGCTAACACCCAACGGGGTCCAGGCACCCAAAGGCTCTCCCCAGGGTTAGCAGGGGCTGTGGCAGGCACTTGGGTGACAGGAACCAGTTCCCTCTCTCACCCTGCCCTGGGCGCTGCTGTCCCTGGGGCCCCCGCTGGGACTGGTGCCCTCCATCCTGCCAGCGGGGCTGTGTCTAAATGCTTTTCTACGGCAGGTGAATGACACCAGTTTCCAGAACCTGACCCGCGAGGAGGCTGTGGAATATCTCATGAGCCTGCCGCCGGGTGAGGACATCACGCTGTGGACCCAGAGCAAGCAGGACAGTGAGTGACAACTGGACCCATCCTGCGCTTGTGCCTCTCCCATCCTCTGTCTCTTCTGAGCAAGCATCAGAGCTGCTGGACCTGCCATGGCCCTTTCTGCCCCCACAGAGGGGCCCTTCTTCCCTGAACCCCCCTCCTCCTCCTCCAGAGAGGTGATGGGAGGGGACCTGACCATCCTGGCCCCATTTGTGCCTCGGCATCCTGGAGCACAGGGGCTTTCTGGCACCGTGGCTCAGCCTGGAGAGGCCAGTGTGTGCTGGGGGCTCAGGTCCTGCTGTCCCCAGCATGACTGATAGAGCCATGGGAGGAAAAGGTGTCCCCAACACACTCCTTAGCAGCAAGGGCTACTGTGGAGGCTCCTGGCCAACCCAGCTCCTTCCCAAATCTCTCCAGCATCTTCCTCCTCAGCCACCTCTTCCCCTGATGGTCCTTCTCACTCTGGGCTCCAGTTTACAGGAAGATGATCTCGTCCAACGTGGGTGACTCATTCTACATCCGGACACACTTTGACTTTGAGAAGGACGCGCCGTCAGGGCTCAGCTTCGTCCGTGGGGATGTCTTCCACGTGCTGGACACCATGTACCGGGGCAGGCTGGGGAGCTGGCTGGCTGTGCGCATGGGCAGGGACCTGCAGGAGCAGGACAAGGGCATCATCCCCAACCGGAGGAGGTAGGGATGGAGCCAGAAACGGCCCCAAGAGGAGCAGAGCCAGGAGATGGCTCCCCAGTGAGATGGGGACATGGATGGTGGGCCCAGTAATAGGCAGGGCAAGGACTGGTGGAGCAGCGGTGGGAGGCATGAACCAGTGAAACCCCTTCTCAGGGGATGGGGCAGTTGATGCTCTGGTTGTCCAAGGTCCTGGAGGGAAGAGGCCACCAAAGCCTCATCCAGCCGTGCAACTGAGGGAGTTGCTGGCTTCTCCTGCCCTGCTTCTTGGAGCCCAGAGAGACAAAGCAGGGGGTAAATCCGGAGGCTCTAGGTCCTGAGCCCTTTCCCCTCCCAGGGCCGAACAGATTGCCAGCCTGGAGTCAGTGCTGAAAGCCACATCTGGTGCCAACACTTCTGGGGCACGGGCGGAGTTTTGGAAGCTGCGGGGCCTGCGGGGAGCCAAGAAGATGCTGCGGAAGAGCCGGGAGGACCTGTCTGCCCTCACAAAGCAGGGCCACTACCCGCCGTATGAGAGAGTGGTCCTGAAGGAAGGTGAGCACCAGGGCTGTGTCCCCGTCTCCCAGACCCACCCAGGGGATGTCAACCCCAGGGCTGCCCTGCTGCAGGTGCTAGTGGGCTCCGCTCTCCTGGGAGGAGCGGGGTGAGTCCCAGGCCCACAGGCGCCTTGGGGAGCAGGGCTGGACGCCTGGGTGCTGCGAGCTCTGCCCGTACCCCCAGCCTCCCTGAGCTGGTCTCTCCTCTCCCCATAGCCAGCTTCAAGCGGCCAGTGGTGATCCTGGGCCCCATCGCAGACATCGCCATGCAGAAGCTGAGCACGGAGATGCCTGAGCGGTTTGAGATTGCCCGTAAGTGCCTGCCCCCTGTCCCTCCCCGGGGGAAATCATATCCAGCAGCCAGACCCTCAGTGTCCAGAGCCTGTGGGAGCTCTTTACCCATGGTTCTGTCCCAGTCCTGCCTCAATGCCCGCTCCCTATGACACCCCAACACCTTCCTGGACTCGTTCACCCCCTCCCCATGGGGGACGACACAGCCCTGGGGCTGGACACGGCCAGCCCTGGCCTGGGGTTGCCGAAGATGCCCCATCTCCCCCAGCCCCTCTCATGCCACATCTCCGTGACCTGCAGTGAGCGTGCCCCGAGATGGGGCGTCGTCCAAGGTCATCAAGTTGGACTCGGTGCGGCAGATCGCAGAAAAGGTGAGACCTTTCCC